TCTACAGAGGTATTGTTAGGTGTAGCAAATATATCCGTGTGTATAACAGCATATAAGGGCAGAGTTATGGAAACTTCTGAGCCACAGCCAAACACATAAAGAGAAAGAGTCCCTCGGGTTAGCATCTTAGACGGCAGGGGCATTGACATCAACTGCATAGCACAGTCCATAAAGACAACGTTCTACATCTTAACTTTGGTGAGTAAAGACTGAGCTCTTAAAAGCGTACAAGTAGTCGTTTAAGATTCAACTACTGGTCTCTCCCAGACTACAGCAAAGAAGAGAAAATCAAAGATGCAAAGAAACGATTTGTCTAAAAGACTAAGTGACCATGTGAACTCCAGCATCTTCTGTCCTGAGAACAAAAGTAGACGATGCCCTGCTACTACTAAAGACGACTCTTGTTTTGGATCAAAGTAGAAAGTTCTAGAAGAAAGGGGGGAGAAAAATATAAAACAAAATAAAAAAATCATAAAAAAGACCAGACGAACAGGTCTCACAGACTGGTGGAACCCCTAAGATTATGGCCTTAAGATACCCTTCAAGAGCTCTGGTGATGCAGTGGTTACACATTGGGCTGTGATCCACAAGGTTAACAGTTCAAAGCCACTCTCAGGATCTTACAGGGGAGGTCTACCTTGTCCTATAGGGTGGCTATGAGTCAGTATCGACTCAATGACAGTGGTTTTGGTTTTAGATATCCTTCAAACCTAGAACTGAACCTACCCACAAAGGATCCCCTTTCAGTCAAACAACAGAAAGGCCTAGAAAGTGGACAATGAAGCATGTACTGCTTAGAACCTTCAACCATACAAGACCAAAAGGGCAGCATTTACCCCAAAGCAAAACTCGGGAGGCAGGATGTAACAGAATAAACCAAGGAAAACCTAGAAGGAAGTGGGCAGTGTTGAGGCTAACAACTAATGTCAGAAAACAAAATGGGCATAAATTGATGAATGGAAAATTTATTTCCACTGTAAAGCGTCAACCAAACCATACAATG